CTTAGGGCTGTTTGTGCAGGTGTCAAAGTGTGAAAGATTTCAGGAATCAGGGCAACAGAGAACTTTGGAAACCTGGTCTTGAGTGACTGCAAAGCAGGACAAATCCCTCCCGTGGGGTCTTACATATTGTCAGGTTTCCCTTACAGCCATTCTGACCCCTGACTAGGGGCCTCCACCCCTCCTGACCCTGGAAGAAATACAAACATTAGATTTGTATTTGAATTTCCCATCCTGAGACACCATCTAGCTGTCATGTTAACACCTGACAATTAAAGAGTGGGCGGGTCAAAGCAATTAGAGGGTCAGGGGCAAGGCAGGCCTGTTTCCAAAGGCAACTAGAGCAGCATGGAGCTCCCAGCTCAGGGAACCTCCCTCAATCCCCAGGACCTTCTCATTGCCAACATGAGACTCAAAGGGGATTCAGGGACCAAGGCAGTAAGAAAGCAAGAGGGGAACCCAGTTTTCTGAAAAGGCAGTCCAGGGCTTCCCCAGAAGCTTGGGGAGACCCAGGTGCCTCCAGGGTCCACACCCAGAAATGGACAAATGCAATGAATGGGAAAACCTAGAAACAGTTCATGAAAAAGCAAAAGAAACTCACCTGGCTTGCAGAGCCAACCAGGAACCCAGGTCTGGGTTAGACTAGTTAGGTATGTATTAAATAGCCTTAATCAAACAAGAATCCAGCTCCTGGTTCCTGCCCTCCAAGTCAGCACCAGAGATGGTGAGCCTCCAAGCAGCAATGCCAGCAAAGAGTCCAGAGAGAAGGGCCTTTCTCCTTTTATATGTGGATTTTATTACAACTTTTGAACTAGGAAAATATTGATTTGCCATCTGGAAATGTGTTCCCAACAACTGTATCTTGACAAGAAGTCATTCTCAGGTCAAGGCAAGGATGACGGCAAGGGATACAGGATTGAGCCATATGAAATGGCCAGTATTGGCCTTTGACCTCTGATCACACATACATTCACACTTTTCTCCATCAAGGGAAACACTCTTGCAAGGTGGAGCTATCTGTGCTGGTCTTGGGGCTCTGGTAGCACACACTGAAGAGACGGGGTCTTGCTATATTGCCCCAGGCTGGTGTCACACCTGGGGCTAGAGCAATTGCCCTCCCTCAGCCTCCTGAGGAGATGGGTTCCCAAGAGTCATCCCCGAACCTGGCTAAGATGGTAGGTTTCTAAGCTAAAGGGCTTAAAGGGTGGTGAGCATCATCCCCAGCTCGCAGGAAGGCCTCTAAAGGCCAGATATTGGCAAATTTCAGCTTGATAATAATGGGCAGCTTAAGTCACCAGATTCATGCCACCCACAACTCCCTGAGGGCTGCTCTTTCCTCTGCCCCAGTTCCACAGTCTAGATAGGTCCCTAGAGGAAGTCCAGTACTTCACCAACAAGCAGGACCTGCCTCTCTTCCCAGGCCTTCCAGAGGCAGAGCTGTGTGCTTCTGGCCTGTTGGATTGTGCCATTCCTCACACACCAGTCCAAAGGCACATGATCAAATAAATATCCGATTAAAAAGGTCAGGGGTTCCGCATCCATGGTGGGGTACCACTGGACAGACGGACACTTATACCCTGAAGTAACCACTCACAGCCACCCAGCCTTCAGGGACCATTGTTCTTTAATCTGTTAAAAGCTTGATATTAGAAGGCCCTTGCTTAGCATATGGGAGACTTGGCTATGGGGGTAGATGGGGGTGGCAGGGACAGAAGAGGAAGAGAGAAGAGGTGAACCTCATGAGTTAAGAATGGTCCTTCTCATGGGGCAAGCAATGGTACCACATGGAGCCTGTGGGGGCAAAAGCATGGAGCAGGTTTAGACACCCTGCAATGTCTCATGTCCCTGAGCAATAGCCTGAGGGCAAAGGGACTCTGTGGGGAGCATCATACTGTGACATGATGTCCCATGGGTTAGGGGCCCTTTTCCCAAAGATTCTTCCAGACCTGGCCTGGTTTCAAATTCTTACCAAATCTGACCCTGGGGATAATCCTCAAAAAGCAGAGATGGCAAACTGCCACTCAGATGCTACCACCAAGCTCCCGTGTCCTCAACAAGACACAAATGGTAAGGACACCCAGCTGGCCAGGTTAAGTGTGAGGAGGGAATTAGAAAATGATGCTATTGTCACCTGGGCTTCATGATGTGATGGAAGAGCCTGTGCCTGGCCTGGGTACCCATTAGTCATGTTAAACCAACTCCAAATTACTCATCTTCCAGGAGCCACAAAAAAAAAAAAAAAAAAAAAAAAAAAAAAAAAAAAAAA